ATTAATAATTAATCTAAACTAGAATATTATTAATCAATATTTATTATAAGTTAAATTTTATTACATTACTTTTATACTATGCATAAAATTTTTATTATCGAATTATATTACTATCATATTTAAAAAAAATAATTGAAATTAAGTTTACAACCCAGGGTGCTATTGTAAACTTTAATTTCAAAAAAAAAATTATTAAAATGTTACAACCCAGAGTGCTATTGTAAACATTAATTTAAAAAAAAAATAAAATATAAAAATTCGTTTACAACCCAGGGTGCTATTGTAAACAAGATTTTGTATATATTTTATAAAAATTTTTATATACAGATAAAAGAAAAAAATTAATTTATATGCATTTTTTCCTACTACTAAACAAAAATGCGATTAATAAATATTAAAAATTAATATAAAATTAATATTTTTTTTACTCACCTATGGTACTGTAATTGAGTTTTTTGCAAAACTTGATATTCTTGAATTGTTAGCCAAGGTGGTTTGGTAGCTTTTTCGGCTAGACAATCTTTAACCATATGGTCATCAGTTTTCCAACACCAAAAACAGTAACCATGATAATGTTGTGGAATTTGTTCACAGTTTATAGCCCAGTGACCTTCAGTGCAACAGAAAGAGCAAGTTTTAAACAAATTTTTATGATTTTGTGAACTTGTAATGACAACACTTGAAGATATATTCTCCCAATCCTCAAATAGAGCCAGGGCTGTAGAAGTGACAGAAGTAGCAGTAGTTGTGGTAACAGAAGAAGTAGAGGCAGTAGTTGTAGTGGCAACAGGAATGGAGATGTTAGAAGTAGAGGTAGAGGAAGAAGTTGAGTCTGGACTTTCATTATTTATTAATGTTAAGCTTTTTTCATAGTTTAAAATATCATGAATAAAAGCACTTACTATTTCTTGTGATTTTATTAAACCATCTACAATATATTGAAATTTAGACATTATTACTTCGAAAATAAGTGTAAAAACTAACTGTAATTGTTCAACGAATAATTGTTACAAACCTGGGTTTTTTTAATCTAAGAGAAAGAATGTGAGAAGTATCTCACGAGAAATGAGAGGATAATCCTAATTCAGATTTTTACAGATGAACCATAATAATAATGATAATGATAACTATAATTAGGAGTTGGCAACAAAAGTAATGCCTGATTTGCACATCAAAGCACAAAGTAAAAACGTGGCTGTGCTTACCCCTTTTTGACATTTCTAAAGGATTTTTTTTTTTAACTTTCTTTTTTGACTTCTAAATAAACACCAGGATAAAAAAAAAATCCGCAAATCCATCTTTAGGTGTTGCACACCTAATAGTTTGCAAAAAGTAAGAAATACACTTATTTTATATCAAAAAATAACCCCTTAGTAAACTTTACAATAAATGCATCACGCCTACCCATTAAGTTAATAGCTTTTTAAACAATACAAAAGAACTAAAAAAATGAATTTTTTGCCTTTGTTTAGATATTTCTCGGTCCTCAAGAAGCAAAAAAAAAATGTTCTATAAAAAAAAGCAATGAAGGAATGACATGTGTTATTGTACGACTTCAACTACAATCTGGGACTTGTACAGTTTGTTATTCGTAGTTAAGGTCCTGTATTACTTTGTAATTAAGTTTTTTTGTAATATTAAAAGGCTCATATTCTATTAATTATAATTTAATTACACATTAAATTTTATATTTAAAAAAAACAAGATAGAACTTATACAAGTTAAGGCGTAGCATTTTTCGATGAAACAAAAAAAGAAACGAACAAGTAAATCCAAAATATTAAAGTATAATATTACATCATTAAAAAAATTATAAATAAGTAGTTGGTGTCGAGTTTTAGAGATAGATAGATCTTGGTAATAACTTGAGAATATTTCACGGGTATTATTAAAAGTTTGTTAATAAATAATTTAAATTATAATAAAAAATTAAATTTTTTATATTAATGTTCTTAAAGACTATATTTTTTTGTTTTTGTGTTTTATTTGTTCATTAGTTGAAATAAATATAATGTTTTAATATAATAAGTGTTATTTTTGTATTATTAGAAAAGCTACAAAATCAGCCAAAATTAAAAAAAATTGAATTTTAATATAAATAAGGAAGACCTCCAACCTAAACTTATTGAAAACAATTAGAAAGCATTAAAGAATAATATCTGAAAGTTTAAAGGCCTTTTAAAAAGTATAAATGATCTTAAAGCCATTTTAAAAAAAAGATACTAAAACTTTAATACATTTATTCTTCGGGTGATTTTTGGCCCAATATCATGAAGAATCAAATAATATTGAATATGCACATGCATTCAATAATGTATTAATTAATAAAAAAACTTTTTTATATATATCATACAAAAATAGAATAAATTATAAAACTTCATTTATAATAAAAATATCAAAACGCAGTTTCAGTGATTTTTTGTCGCTACATGTATATATTTATACTTTGTATAAAAAATGCATTTAAAATAATTGGTAAATATAGTGAAGGTTACTCAAGATCTTTATTGATTGTACTTTCTTTACAAATTTTCAAATTTATAAAAATTGCACAATTTTACTTATTAAATTTACATTGCTAAAAACTAATTTGAAATAATTTTTAGTCTGAAACTTCATGTTGAAAAATTACTATTTAGTCTGTCAATTAAGCTAAAAAAAAATCAGACAATAAAATTGGAATGCACCTATTTTCATCATGACTTTTTGCTATTTCCACCATGGTATAATAAAAAATCTATTTTTAGTTAACCAATTAAATTTAAAAAAAACAATTTTTTAAAATTAAAGAAGTTTTTATTAAGTTAAAGTTAGTTGGGCTTCTAATAGTGTTTAGATCATCCAAATCAGCCTAGTAGATCCCAAGATATTTTGGATCAAAGATGTGAAGATAGTGATCTACAAATTATCAGTTACACAAAGTATTATAGACTATAATACTATTTTTGCATCTTTGATCCCAAATATCTTAAGATTTACTAGCTGATTTGAATGATCTAAATACTATTAAAATCATAAAAACCTTCTTTACAACTTTAATTAGAAGTCCAAGAAAGGTTAGCTTATTAAAAACTTTGTTAATTAATCAATTAAATTTAAAAAATAATTTTTAAAATTTAAAGTTTTTAATAAGTTAATCTCTCTTGGGCTTCTAATTAAAGTTGTAGAGGAGGTTTTTATAGTTTTGATGGTGTTTAGATTATTCAAATTGGCCTAGTAGATCCTAAGATATTTGGGTCCCAAATATCTTGGGATCTACTAAGCCAATTTGGATGATTTAAATACCATTAAAACTATAAAAACCTCTTCTACAACTTTAATTAGAAGCTCAAGAGAGATTAGCTTATTAAAAACTTCTTTAAATTTTAAAAAATTATTTTTTTAAATTTAATTAGTTAACTAAAAATAGATTTTT